TTTTATACCTCTTGCTTCTTATCAAAGAAGATGTTCAGATGAGCATTGTATACAATTAATTTTTTACGCCTGAATAAACTAATTTTTATTTTGGCGCTTATTTTGGCTAGCGCGGAAACTTTTTGTGCGGAAAATTTCGTGCGGGACACGCCCCGTTCTCATAATTTTCTCGCATTCGAAATGAATGAATTCACATGACAAACAGAAAGAAATTCCTCGACTCGCGTATGTATAAAGCGCGTTGTATTCTACTTTTTGTCGAATCATAAACCGGCCGTGTAAAAGCGAAAAGTGGAAAGCTTTATTTTTGCCCTTGTGCAATTATATCTATGCAAAGAAAAGATGCATCGATCCTTAAAAAAATAATATATCGAGAATCACTCGAGAGTCACTCGTTATCGATGTATCTTCTCGTTAAAAGAATGAAATGTTAAAATTCCTATTTTTACCAAAAGCAAAAGCTAATTTGTAATTTTAATTAGTACTTTATTTCTATATTTTATAACTTTTCCGTGCATTTCATCATCTTGTACTAGGTAGTACGCCGAGGTTTTCTTTCTTCATAGCTTCTTGTCACGCACAACTCTCTTTCTCTCCGCATCTTACACCGAGCTTAAAAGCGGGGAAGAAATTATTACGTAGTGTATCGTGTTCGTGGAATGTAAAGCGTGTACTTTATATACGTGTAATTAATTTTCTTCCTCCTTACCATTATTAATTATAACAGTATACGTGATGCAATTTTCATTTTTATTATAAAAAAAAATAACAAACGGCTATAATAGAGATATCGATTATTCATCTCTCGTTAAATTAATTGTTAATATGAGTCGCAAAACAATTATTATTAATCTCGGGAGTGAACGTCGTGCAGGGGAATACGTATTCGCGACGGAGAATTTCGGTAACGCCGGGCCCGAAACTATCGCCCGAATCGGAACCCGGAGGTGCAAAGGATCCCGGCATTATGCACGAGCGTGCGCGACGACCACTTAACATGAGCATACAAAAAGCCAATAATGCAGCGTTGGCATGCACGACCGCGAGGTCTCGGGAGCGTGCGGGTTAACGGTCCCGTCTTTCCGGCGGATTGGCCCCGCTTCCGGAGACATATAGGGTAGACAATAAGAAGGCGGCGATATCGCGCGCGGGGGCCTCTCTCTTTCTCTCGTTGTACAGGAGGCCCCGCGAGCTCTCTATGTCCGGCATCGTCGAGCCGATCGTGCGTATTACGTATTAAGTACGGTGTTCGTGCAACGACACGCCGTGATGTGTCGGCACGCGCTTCGAATCTTTCGAATCTCCGTACGATACGTGCATCCTAATGTAACGAATTTAGTCAGATGGTACGAATCATCAGTCAAATATCGATGATACTCCTTGAGAAGCCACGAAATCGACTATAAAATGTATTTCTCAATAAAGAGTCGCTTTTCCTTATTGCGGTAACAGAAAAAGAGAGAGAGAAAGAAGATTGATAATCTTACAAAGAAAGACGCGTTAATGTCTCGCGGTCGAAGGGCGGAAGGATCTTTGAGGCAAAGACCGCTTTGACGTGATTATTTGGAAATTAGAGCCTTAAACGCGCATATTTCTCCCGATAGGACTCGAAATATTCGCGGCTAATGAGACGAGGCGGGGCCGGTGCCCCGCGCCCTTCGGCGCCCCGCCCGTGAGATACGTCTCGCGTGGATGATGTACGGCCGTTTAATGACCCGGTTTCGGTCCCAGAGGGGATGGTTTT